AGGAACACAGTGGTGGTAAAGAAGGACTCCCTGGGGAAGTTTTCCCAGGTGTATGTCTGCTAAAGCTTTGGCTAAATTCCTCAAAAATCTCCAATATTAAAAGGATGCCATTCCTTGGCCCTTTAGAAAGTCAATAAGCAAAATACCATGATTCTGTCAACTGCTGCTTTGACTGGACCACATCACTCTGTTGGTAGGCAGTGCTTTGATTGTGTTGGGTCTTTAAAGCCATCTTTAATTTCCTGTTACAATTCTTCCAAGAAATGCTTTAGGATCTTGATCGCATTTGTTTCAAATTTCCATTGTAAGCTTTGTTTCTGTCTAGCTTATCTGGGCTCAATAGCCTAGGCATTCCTTGCTCCAGTTAGATTGTGCAAACATCCATAGTTTCCAATTAGATTGTGTAAACTGAACCAATTGAGATGTTTGTATTGCTAGCTATTGTTTCTGCTGTAAATTGTTGGTCTTCTTCAATTAGAGCATAAACAGAATTAATTTCTTGCTTGCCAACTATGTGTGCTTCAACTGCAACATCGTCTTATCCCTTCTTAAAACCAGTTAGTCACTTGTAAATTGGTGATTTTGGGGGGAGAGGGATTGTCCCCAAAAATTTTTTTAAAGAATCAGGTTTCACCATGAAATTGATGTTTGCTTTGCTTAATTTTTGGCACAATTTATATTATTCTGATAAGGCTTTTTTCAGACCTGTATCTTATTACTCTCTAAATGCCGTAAACTAGATCCTGTTCAGGCATGTTTTAAGAAGTGACTGTGAGTTTCATCTGGTATAACATTTTTAAAAAAAAATTCAATCTTTGTTCATAATATTCATTTTCCATTAACTTATGAGATCCCTCATATTTGATTTTCATTTTATTTATGTTCTATTTCATATGCTTAATATATTTATGTTAGGCAATTAACTATATGTTTGTATATGACATATATATTACATTTATGTGTATTTAAAAGCAGATTGTATGCATGAGCATATCATCCATAATTATAGGCTAATGCTTATGTTTATTATAATAGAAAGCGTGACTAACAGTGACTTAGAGACATTATACTAATTAATATTCAACATAGATCTAATAGGTGGTCTTAAGAGTTGGTAGCGCAGTCTACTGATTCATTGATGCTTCTGTGTTTCCATTCACATCTTGATCCTGATGACTTCAGGCTGAGAGTTTGACTTCAGAATGAGTTTATGTTACCTTGCCAATGCCTCTCTGATTTTATGGATGATGCATAATGAAATGCATCTGTAAATTCTAGGATTCCAAGTTTATTGCTAATTACAGGTTTGTTTGCTTTTCTACTTAGAGGAGGATAAAATCCAATATCCTGTCACTGTTTGTGATATTAAATTATGAAAAAAATGTTTTTGTTGAAACTAGACATGTCACTGTGAGGGATAAGCATACATATTTTATGTTAATTTTGAGATTCTCTCTGCTATGGAAATAGAAAACCTGTGTACATGCTAAGCCTGGTATCTCTGCATTTTCCCACTGCAGACTTTTGCAGAGTAATTTACTTGCATCTCTGATCCTCTGTAATATGCTCATAGATGACAGCATGATGGGAAAGTAGTTGTAGGATAGGGTGGTAACCACTGGAGACAGCAGTTGTCAGATGGAAATTAATTGATTGTAATTGCCTTACCATTGTATTACACTTGGAGTCTGTAGCTTGTTAGAACCACTGATTATACAATAAGGATCTCACTTTTTATGCTGTAGGTTATGTTAATGAAAAGCTGTTCTTAGAGGGAGTGATCAGTGAATATCAATAAATGGATAATAAGAAATTAAAGGAAAGTTAACTAGCTGATCATGAGTTACTATACTTCAGCAATCAGAGTAGCAGTTAACTGTGTGTCATTTCATATTGAATTTTTGCCTGAAGCTCTTGAATTTTAAATATTCCCTACAGAAGGAGAAGCTGATTCTATGTGACTCTTTAGCACACACCGTCTTGAATTACAGATATTCATTGTAGAGAAGATTGTCCTGAAATTGGGAAATGTGCCTGTTTTCCAAGACCATTATTTTATGCCAAACTATTAAAAAGCATGTATTTTAAAATGGGAAAAAATACATTTTCAACCCATTATAACACCAAAAAAGAGGATAATAAAAATCATTTTTCCCCCAAAGTTCAGGATACATGAGTAATACAAGAGTAAATCCAAGGGCATTACTTGTACAATGTTCATCAATAATAAGAATACCACAATAATAATATGGATATGAATTAACATATTGATGTGTCTAACATTTGACTGTAAGAGATTACAGAAAATCAGAGACCCACATTAATGCCTATGCAGGGCTGGCGCCGTGCCTCACTTGGTTAATCCTCTGTCTTGCGGCGCCAGCATCCCATATGGGCGTGGGGTTCTAGTCCCAGTTGCTCCTCTTCCAGTCCAGCTCTCTGCTGTGGCCCGGGAAGGCAGTGGAGGATGGCCCAGGTGCTTGGGCCCCTGCACCCACGTGGGAGACCTGGAGGAAGCACCTGGCTCCTGGCTTTAGATTGGTACAGCACCGGCCTTGGCAGCCATTCAGGGAGTGAACCAACAGAAGGAAGACCTTTTTCTCTGTCTCTCTCTCTCTCACTGTCTATAACTCTACCTGTCAAATAAAAAAAAATGACTATGCAAAAGTCTGGCATGGAGAATACAGAGGTATCAGACATAAATTGTGTACCAAGGATTCCTCTTTGCATAGCTTAGAGAATCCTAAAAATAATGTAAAATATGCTTATCCCTTGTAGTGAGTTGATTTATCTCAAAGAAAATATCATTATTATTCTTTAAATAATACAATATTGTAGGATTGTAGTGAAGTCTTTAATGATCATTTCTGTTACCCGTAGCATTGAAATGGTTGGTGATATCAAAGAGATGAGAGTTGTGAAGACATTTTTAGGTAACACCAGTTCTGATCAAGCCTCAATCTCTGCCCTCAGGGAACTCAGATTAAAAGGGCAAATAAACTTGTGAACAAAGGATTACCTGCAGAGCTAAGTGCAGTGCTGCAGATGATTAGAGATTCTAGGGAGACACAAAAAGAAGATCCTCTAAGGTATAAAGGATTTCTGGGTGTCTTCCAGGAAAGAGAAGGCTAGAGAAGAAGGATGGCTCAAGAAGGTGGAGCAGTGAAAACAGTTCATGGAATTTGGAGGAAATAAAATAAGAGCTGGAAATTGTGTTGTATGTTTGAAGTTCAACGAGAGGAGTGTAGGCAGGAGACAGGAGACAGGCGAAATTACAGGGGGTCCATGTCCTTCTTTGCTGTGCTAAAGATTTTGAAATATACCCAAGGGAGATCCTATTGAGACATTAGTGGATTTCCTTTTAGAATGATCACTTTTTTGTTGTTGTTGTTGTTGTTAAGGGAAAGGGTTTATTGGGGAACAACCTACAGACCGGAGTGAAGGGGCGGCGAAGGAAAAAGAGAGAAAGAGAGTGTAAGAGAGAAACAGAGAGGAGAGGAGCTAGCAAGGAGAGAAGATAGAGCCGAGAAGAGGAGAGAGGAGAGCAGAGCCAAGAGACCAGAGGAGGAGGCTAGAGAGAAGAACCGAGAGAGAGCAGGAGCGAAGGGGCAAGAGAGAGCAGGTGTTCAGGAACTGGCCCTTTTAAAACTTTGCCTGAGGGCGGGCAGGGAAGCAGGAGCAGCGAATCCCATTAGGATGGGGCTGGAGCCTGGCTCAGGTAGCTGGGCCATTCGGCCACCTGGCTACAACTGCGCCCGTTTCCTAACAAGCAGTCCATTCCAACCCGTCCAAAATGGATTTTCAGCCATGGCACGTCGACGACACTCCAGATCTTCTTGAAGTGTCTTGATTTTATTGCGAACAATGCCGGACTTGTTAGCATAAAAACAGCATTTTTCCTGTAAAGCCAAGCACATACCTCTCCGTTCAGCAGTAAGCAAGTCTAAGCCTCTACGATTTTGTAAAACCACTTCCACTAGGGAGTCAATCTGATCTTGAAGGTCCTGAATGGTGGTGGATAGAGTTTGCTTTACAAGAATGATCACTTTCTCATCACCTTGAGTGATAAGCAGGGAAGAAGCTCATTGTGACCATCAGTAAGCTGGTTTAATATGCCCTGCAGTTTAGTGTTATAGTTAATCTTGATCCATGAAAAGAAACTTAAGAGCTTAAATGCTGAACAATTTATGTGTCTGTGACTTCTTAAGTGTATATGTATTTTTCTTGAACGCTACTGAGGAATTGCTGCTAATATTTTGGCCGCTTAAAACTCTGTAACTAGAATAATGTCTCTGTGTAGTAAGAGTGTGCATCCTGTAGATAGCACATATTTATGATTAGCTTCATATTTGGGAGGCATGTATAGAAAAATAGCTTAATTAAAAATGTAATTATGATTTAAAAAATACATATTTAAGAGAATGCTAAAAGATGGCAACAATGTGATTAAATATTTACAGGAAACATTCTTCACATCTGAGAATCTGTTTCAGAATTTGGAACATTTGCATTTTAATTACATAATAAAGGGAGAAAGTGAAAGATTAATTGGCTTAGCTATTAGCCAATTATAGCTGTAACTAAAAAAAACCCCAAACCGACATTGGTTTCCATGGAACAATCACAGTATTCACTGATCAGATGTTTAATGACATTTGGCAACAACAAAGGGAAGGGAACATGTCAATCCTTCATACAGCATGTTTGTTCAACTGAAATTAATGAAAACAGATTTGGAGGTGTTTGAATCAGGATCCTTCAGCTTGTATGGTTCCCATGTCCTTAAATGGGGCTTCTCTTGAGTGATTCCAGTAAGCAAAATCTCGTGGGGAAACAAGACAGTAGAATACAGTGGGTCTTGACCAGTGCCACGTGGGGTCAAGTCCTGACTCTGGGGTCCCCAAGATTAGAGTGTGTGCACGGATCAGGGCCAGCCACAGGAGGAACTGGCCATCCGAGTGCACTGCTGACAGCATTTCCCTCTGTGCCTTCCTCGGCAGATACGACGACATACTCCACTGAGCGGTCGGAGCACTTCAAGCCCTGCCGAGACAAGGACCTTGCATACTGTCTCAATGATGGCGAGTGCTTTGTGATCGAAACCCTGACCGGATCCCATAAACACTGTCGGTAAGCCACTTCCGCCGCTCCCAAGGGCAGGCCCCCAGTGAGGCCTGGAGGTGGAGGGAGGTGGGGAACTTTGGGAGTGTACAATGTCTGATTTGCATGGTCTAGCTGTAGTAATGGCAGAATTGAGTTTTAACGTAAGAAGAAGACTGGTATCTCTCTACTATTTGAGAAAATGAGGGAGTTGGTCAAATAAAAGGATATTTACCTTTGTATCTTCCAATTGAGTGCAAACAATGATTTGCTCACTTTAGAAGCTTCTGTTTATGGCATGAGATATACGCATACGTGTAATCCTGGTACTCAGAACTAATCCATGTTTTACAATCTCAGAACAAGTGGCAAGAGAAGGAGATTGCTCGTATAAAATCTAGAGTCCTGGTGTTTTCTGGAACCGAACGCCAGAGACTGTAACTGTGTCCAGTTGATTCTGCCCTTCTGTGTTCATTTCAGTGTTTTTTTAACACGTCTGATTGTGAAGCAGTCTTCAGCAAGATGTAATAAATGAAACCATAGACTTGTTACAGTCTAGGTAGAGAACTACTTAGGGAAAAGTCCTGGTAGAGATGAAGAAGGTGTTTAATTGGTTTTTAGAGACCTGAGGTTATATAACTGCTAAAAATAAAAATAAAAAGATAAATAGTGCATTTGTACCCACTGCAGCTTTAAGGCCCAACAGAAGAATCAAATTAGCATTCAAACATATTTCCTACGGAGCTTTTATTTCCAGCACTACCCTGGTAATTTGTTTTTCCTTGCAATTGTGCATGCTTCAATGATCATCTATATCCACACCCCTTTCCTTCTCTTTATTTACTCCTCTCATATGACACCGTTATTAAATTAATTATTCCGAATTGTGAAGCATGGAAAATTACGACTTTTTTCCTCTCTATTGCTATTATAAAACTTTATTCCCATGTTGTTTTATTAAGATGGTACAGCGAAATGTATCTTAGAGTTATGAATTTAGAACATGACAGCAGATCCTGCCTGACTTACGAGCCAGCGTTCAGTCCACAGAGTGGACATCTTGCCACAGCGGACTATAGCACAGCTTTGGAAAGACTGATGAAGGACATAGCAGGTCTCTGTAGAAGCTACGGTATGTGCTGTGTCAGGATGACAGAGCTGTGACCTCTTCCCGCCCTGGGAGTTCGGCAGTGCTCGGACATTTACCTGTTAGAACATTTGCAGCCTGTTCCTATCCCTGGTGAACTTGGGTTCAGGACAAAGAGGAGTGGGGATTGCTCCTTTCCACATTTCTTTCCTATGGCTTTACTTAGCCTATGTGAGAGGGCACAGGTAGTAAGCACACAATGATTTTAAGACCTCAAGAGAAAATCCTGGAAAAGCTGGATGTGTGTCCGAGGCCGTTGGGCGACTTAACAAAATGTGGAATTTACCTCACCCAATCTAATGGGGGTCATTGCATACAAGTGGACACTGTGGTTTGAACATGGGTGGTCACATCTCCCAGAGGTTCCTGTGCTGGAGCTTGGTCCCCAGTGAGGTGGTGTGGAGATGGTCATACCTGTAAGAGGTAAGGCCTTGTAGAAGGCACGTAAGTGGTATGTGAATGGTGAATGTTGTCTCCTGTGAATGAGCTAGGCCTGGTGTGGTTAGGTTGGCTCTGAGCAGAACGAGTTGTTACGCAAGCAGCAATTCCCCACCTCCCCTGGAGCCTTTGGCTTTCTTGCTAACAAACACGTGCTGTGTGCATGCAGCCGGGCTCTTGCCACTTCTCTATCTTGTGATGCACCAGGGTGCTGGCACCATACAGTCTGGACTTCGTAACATCAGAAGCATGAGTCAAATTCACCTCTTTAAACTTTACTCAGTCCCAGGTCTGTTGTTAGAGCCACAGACAACTTACAGTGGGCAATCAATTAAGTTTCAGTTCCTAATCCATTGAAGAAGGGAGGAATCAAACATTATCAGCTAAAGCAGTGACTTTCTTTGCTTATGTTTTATCCCAAGAAAGGATCGGCTCAGACCCCGTCACAACGTGCAGGTTGATAGGATTCATCTTTTCTCAGACTGAGTAGTAGCAAGGAACAACATAATTTTTGTTTGTTTTCAACATACTATCTCACTATGTCTTTTACTGATTTCATGGGCGTATATGGTTTCTACAGCTACCAGAACAAAGCCTGGTCAACTGTGTGACATAACAACAGAAATTTATTTTCTCATAGTCCTGCAGGTCAGGGCTGGTTTCTTCTGAGACCTCTCTCCTTGGCTTATAGGTGGTCATCTTCTCTCTGTTTCTTCTCATCATGTTTCCTCGGAAGGTGCCTGGGCCAACATTTCCTCCTCTTTTAAAATATTTAATTATTTCTATTTATTTGAAAGGTAGACAAAGAGAAAGTGAGGTCTGTCCAACCACTGGATCACTCCCCAAAGGCCCACAGTAGCCAAGGATGGGACAGACCAAAGCCAAGATCCAGAAACTCCATCTGTATCTTCCACATGGGTGGCAGAGACCCAAGAAATTGAGCCATTGTCTGCTTCCTCCTGGGATACGTTAGCAGGAAGTTGGATGGGAAGCAGAAGTGGAACTCAATCTCAGGCACTCTTATAGGGGACGCAGGTGTTCCAAGTTGCAGCTTAGCCCCAGTGCCACCATGCCTGTCTCTACATTTCCTATTTGTACAAGGACATAATCTATGTTGGGTTAGAGCATACTCTAATGAGCTTAATTCCCCTTTTTAGGGGAATCAATATACTCTCCTAATATATTCACTTCCTGTGGTACAGGTTAGTACTTCAGCATATGGATTTTTGGGAGGGTGACACAACTCAGCCCATAACAGTGGGTCTCAGATCTGGAGAGAATAATATCCTTTGCTTTTGTACATATGTCTATTTTTTTAACACACACAAGAAGAGATATGTCTATGGTTTAACTGGACCGGGGTGCATGTATAATAATTTTGGCCTTCTGTCTTCATATTTCTTGCATATTTCAGTACAGACAACCTGTTATTTAACATAGAGTGACAACACAGCTAATCATGACAAAAGACCAGCCCTAAGACAGAGTTGGAACTCTAGTAGGTTAATAGATGTCTATAAATCTCCTACTAGTGTGTATAAATAAATCACACATCACATGTGCCCACTATTCATCTCCCAGGCTTTCCTGTGAATAAAAGGCTTGTATTTGTTCCTGCATCAGCCACTTAAAAAAATTCCAATGCAGTTATATTAATAGTGAGCCATTTTGTACAGCACTCTCCTTAAGTAGTGTGTTTCTTCATTCTTCTCCCATTCAACAAATGTTTATTGAGTACCTCGTATCACCAAGATACTGTTGAATAAATACATACAGAAATGAATGCAAGAATTAAATGGCACTGCAGTTTCTAATGTGTTTGTAGAAGTGGAATATTTCATCGTTAGAGATAATGCAAAGAAAGCAAAGCACTTTATAAATGACAGACATGCTACCAGAGGCATCTTTGTGACCTGTTACTTACTGGATTGCATTTCCAGTTCAATATGACACCATTTAGCAGATGGGAGCAGTGACATAAAGCCATGGAATTGAATACAGCTTACTAGATTTTTTTTTGTCTAAAAATTATACAACCAAGTCCAAGAGAAATTAAGATTGTATTTTCTAGATTAAAAAGCAAATTGGAGGTGGGTATTGTGGCACAGCAGTTAAACTACCACTCAGGAAGCCCTTATCCTTACTGATGTACTTGTTTTGAATACCAGCTACTCTGCTTCCAGTCCAGCTTCTTGCTAATGTGCACCCTGAATGGCAGGCAGCAATGGTTCAAGTACTTGGGTAACTTTGCCACCCATGTGGGAGACCTAGATTGATTTCTAGGCTCCTGGCCTTGGCCTGGACCAGCCCTAGTGCTTGGTGCATTTGGGGAGTGAACCAGCAGATGGAAGAGTTCACTCTGTCTCCCTTTATGTAACTGTGAATTTTAAATAAAAATAAATAAACTTTTTTTTATTAAATAAGTATAAATTTACAAAGTACAACTTTAAAATTATACTGGCTTTTTCCCCCATAGCCTCCCTCCCACCCACAACCATCCCATCTCCCACTCCCTCTCCCATCCCATTCTTCATCAAGATTCATTTTCAATTATCTTTATATACAGATCATCTTAGTATATACTAAGTAAAGATTTCAACAGACTGCACCCACACAGACACACAAAATAGAGAGTACTGTTTAAGTAGTGGTTTTACCATTAATTCTCATAGTACAACACATTAAGGACAGAGATCCTACACGGGGAGCAGGTGCACAGTGACTCCTGTTGTTGATTTAAGAACTGACACTCTTATTTATGACATCAGTAATCACCAGAGGCTCTTGTTGAGAGCTGCCAAGGCTATGGAAGCCTCTTGAGATCACCAACTCTGATCTTATTTAGACAAGGCCATAGTCAAAGTGGAAGTTCCTTCTTCCCTTCAGAGAAAGGTGCCTCCTTCTCTGATGGCCTATTCTTGTGGGATTTCATTCACCGAGATCTTTCATTCAGGTGGTTTTGTTTTTGTTTTTGTTTTTTTTTTGTTTTTTTTTTTTTTTTTTGCCACAGTGTCTTGGCTTTCCATGCCTGTGAGACTCTCATGGGTCTTTTAGCCAGATCCGAATGCCTTAAGGGCTGATTCTGAGGCCGAAGTGCTGTTTAGGGCATTTGCCATTCTATGAGTCTGCTGTGTATCTTGTTTCCCTGTAGGATCATTCTCTCCCTTTTAATTCTACCCTTTATTATTTGCAGACATTGGTCTTATTTGTGTAATCTCTTTGACACCTAACCTATCTTTTTGTTCAGTTATGTGCTTAAACTGATCACTTTAACAAGTAAGATGGCATTGGTACATGCTACCTTGATAAGATTGAATTAGAATCCCCTGGCACATTTCTAGCTCTACCATTGGAGGTAAGTCCAAGTGAGCATGTGCCGAACTGTCTGTCTCCTCCCTCTCTTATTCCCACTCTTACATTAAAAATAAACAAACTTTTAAAGATA